CACAGCACTGCCCCCCCCCCCCTCCCCCCGCCCTCCTTCATATTTACCCCTATCCGCCCACTCTCTCTTCACAATGTCCGGTGTCCCGGTTGCAGCGCGCCCGAGGTGCTCTCCCGCCAATCGGTGGACGACTACCGGCAGGTGGACATGTGGGCGCTGGGCGTGGTGATGTGGGTGCTCTTGACGGGCGAGCACCCGTTCGGCGCCCACTCAGACCTGTCCGAGGCGGAGCTGGCGCGCAGGGTGGCGGAGATGGAACCGGACCTGAAGGTGAGGCAGTAACCTAAAACCGCAGGTTATTCCAAGTATGCAAACATGCGGGATGAAGTATTGAATCTGCCAAGTGAGGTTAGGGTAGGGATGGAGGGAGGACTGCGGTAAGGACAGCAGTGAAAGAGATAGGCCCTTGTGTTTCGTACCCTTCGTGTTGTTGATTTTTGGGCGGGCTTTGATCTGGTGTGGGTGTACTTGCGGGCCGCTGGTTCCGCCGCCCTTTCTCAGGGCGTGGATGTAGCAATTCTAGCGGTAGCCGGTAGATGTTGCCATGGTATCACGAATGTAAGGGAAGGGTAAATATTTCTGTTCCTTCGATGCATGCCGCGTTTTCTAGCGCCATGTATACCTCCATATGCCCCGACTTGCAGCACACGCCGCAGTGAACGAAGAAGAACAAACATGCCACCAACCAATCACGAAAAATCACCGCGCAACATGTTTGTCACGTGTACACACCCGCCCTCCCCCTAGGCTCTCAGACACGTCTCCCCCGAGGCGAAGGATCTCGTGCGCCGCCTGCTGGCCCGCGACCCGGAGGACCGCCCGTCGGCTCTCCAGCTGCTCTCCCACCCGTGGCTCCGCGCCGTGGTTACAACGCACCGCTCCTCGCTCCGCCGCCCGCAGAGCCTCGTGCGCCGCAGGCACCAGCAGCAGCAGGTGGAGGGTGAGTCGTGGGGAGTCCGGCCGCCTCGCCATGGCGTGGGCGACGCGGAGCGGAAGCAGGAGGGGGGGGAGGGGGTTCAGCAGCGTGCGTCTTCTTCGGCGGCTGCGGCGGTGGTGGCCACCGTGACTGGGGGGACCATCTACGAGCTTGAGTAGTTCGGTACAAGGGGGCTCAGCAGCGTGCGTCTTCTTCGGCGGCTGCGGCGGTGGTGGCCACCGGACCATCAACGGGCTTGAGTGGTTCGGTACAATCTGCAGTGCCCCGTTACGGGGTGGAGGTTACGGTGCCCCGGGCGGTGGCGGAGGGGGGGGTGCATCTACCGGCTTCAACGGTTCGGTACACTGCCGTGTCCCCGAGGCCCCGAGGGGAGGCTACGGCGGTGCCTCGAACGACTCATTCCTTGAGCTCTTGACCCCAGCCGGGTGGAGAGGCAACAAAGTTTGGGTTTGTAAATAACCAAGGAGCGCTTGGGCAATGTACATCTTCAACGCACGGTACAAAATGGGGCATACTTTGTGTGTCGGGTTGGTGGACGAACGGGGGGGAGGGAGGGGGCGGTCCATGGGTTGATAGATGCGCGCTTTTGGTGCTTTTGATTTTGGTGTGGTGTTATCGTGCTTTAGTGTGCGTGTGTGCGTGCGTGCGTGCGTGCGCGTTGTGTTTTTTTCGCGAGGTGTTTGTCGCACCGCGCCAAATAAGACAAACGAGCCCCCCGACGAGGCTTTTATCTGTGCCATGCATCATGAACGGCTGAGACTTGCATTCTGCGCACCGGGAGTTTTCTAGACAGGGGTCGGCGGGGGTGGGGCGGTTGCGGAGAGGGTGCTCCGCGCCGTGTGTAGATTAAATGTGTAGGCCTAGATTTACTGTGCTTTTCGCGGCGTTTCTGGTGGGCTTACATTACAGCCATGTTTTCTTCGCGGTCTCGGGCCTATGTTGTGGTGTCTTTTCCAGCAGTAGACACAAACGAGCCGCGTGGTAGCAATCACCGGGAGAGTACAGGAATCCAGCGTATCAGAACGGGACATGGACTAGCAGCAGCCGGGAATGAGTGTCGCGAATGCCATGACGAGCACGAGCGCGTCGAATTGGTTCTGGCTGCTTGAGATACTACGTCGCGGTAGCGCACTAAATTGTGAAGGGAATGTACATAGGTTTCNGGGGGGGGGGGGGGGGGGGGGGGGGGGGGGGGGGGGGGGGGGGGGGGGGGGGGGGGGGGGGGGGGGGGGGGGGGGGGGGGGGGGGGGGGGGGGGGGATGTGCTACGCGTTTTTTGTGGGGCACAATGCAACGAAAACATGAAAAGGTTTGAGGCATGAGTTTCCCACCCCTCCCTATCCGGGTCATCCGACTCTTGTTTCTTGTTCGGCCTTTGGCAACGTGATAGGTCATCTGTCCATCAATCCATCCATTCACGTTGGTTGGGCGGACCAAAAAGCTTTTCCGAAGCCAGTAGTTGACGTGCATGTGTTGGTAAAGGCGGAGGGGCGGGGAGCAGGCCGCGCTTGCCCAGTGTCCTTGGTACTGTCGGCTGGTGTGTTGTTGCTACGATTTCTCAGGACTCCTGTTAGATTCCAGTGCTCGACCATATTTGCTGTACTTTCGTTTTCGGCAATTCTGCTGCTACATTGGGTGTTAGAAGAGTGACTCGAAGGGAGTAATGGCGGTGTAGTGTAGTCTCTTGGGGTCCATTTGAAGTTGGTGTATTTCTTAGAAGGCGGCGAAAGCGTTTCCGCTGGCATGCGTTGGCGCTTTTTTTTTTCTTGTGCGGTCGGTGCTTCGCGCAGTGTTTTTTGCCCAATTGGCCAACCGTGCATGTATCAACAGATGGGTTTGAATGGAGAGCCAGAGAGGGGGGTGGGTGTCTTGTCTCCATGGATGCCCAGACGCATCATCTCCTCGCCTTCGTGTACATACAAGAGAGCGAACATGCATAGAGTCAACCGCACCACGCCCTCGCTTGACATCGAGCACCGACATAACGGCGGGGGTAGACGAGAGGTTTCGGCTTGGACTGCAGCTAACGCCCGAGACTGTTTGCTAGACGCCGCTTTTCAATTTAGGCGGCACCAAGCTGTAGTATAGAGCTGTATTGGGGGTGATTTGCAATTGGTGGATCATGAGTGATATTCAGGGGCCGGGTGTGCGCGCCTTGCTGTCGTCTGTTCTTGTGGTGCCGTACATGGTATTGCTAGACTGCAAATGAATTTGGTTGGATCGATAGGTGGTGTTCGCTTTGTTGTAGTCTACATTTCGTACGCGTTTTTTTCCAGACTTCCGTTGCGCCATGTTGTCAAATTAGCACGCACTGCTGGTGCTGCTGGTGCTGGTGCTGGTGCTGCTGTGCTTGCCCAGCTCTTGTCTTTTGCATTTTGTCTGTTGGCGGGAAAGCTAGCCGCTTGGAGGCCGCGGGTGCTCAGTTGGTGTCCGATTCTGCCTGTATCTCGAGCCACAAGCGAGGAGTGCATCTATTCGAAATCGGTTAATATTGAAATACATTCAGTCCAAGTACTGTAGTTTTGCCTTGCGCACACGCCAGGTGATCCGTGTCGTACCATGATGTGTGCATCCTTGCGGAAGAAGAGGCGACTGTCGCGCGAGGCTTGCGTGCGTGTTGCGCCTCTTCGGGAGTCTTGGCGAACACCAAGAGACACACGAGACATGAGATGGAACAATGCGAAGGGTGGAGGCAATTCATTCTTTATGGTCGACGACGCCACACACAGCAGCCGTTTTCTGTCTGCCTAGAGATAACTCGTGTTGCTCGGGTTTGTTCAGGTATTACCCTGTAGCCCAGGCACGAAAGATATCGGGTCTTTCAAGCCGATCATGAAAAGTTTGTCACGGGATATGCGTGCGAAACAGAAGCAAGGCATTCTAGACCTTCATAAAGCCAAGCTCTTGTTTTGGCCAAGTATTTTATCCGCCGCTTAGATAGCGGCCAATGGTGTCGTGGGAGAAAGCCAACAAGCCTAACTTGACCAATTTTGCCGAACATTGTTGATGAAGCGGATGAGTCGGGCGTGAGTCTTCGCGTGACCCTGCAACTCCTACCTCTGGCCTTCGCCTAGAGCGGTCGAAGTTTCGACCTACGTTGTATGGCCACCGAAGGCGCCCGTGTCGGTTGGACCGGCAGACAAGGTACCGATGATGATGCAAATGCACGGCGTTCGCTTGTTGAACGGAAGTCAACGACACACAAAACACTGTTTATCACCACCAACAATGCCGACGACGACAAAGAAATATGATTACAAGCCTGCCCTCCTCCGCCGCCACTTCAGCATCGGGGAAGGAGGGGGTGAAACGTCTTCGACATGCGAGTATTCAATGAGAGCAAACATTAACATTCCTTCCTTCTACAGCACACGACTCGATCGAATTAATGTACACAATGCCCACAAGAATAACGTCGCCTGCTTCCTTGCTTCCACAACCTCCCACCTTGTAACATACATTTTCCCTGACGATCGCCCGCAGTACAGATGTTCGTACTTCTCACGCGCACACCCCGCCCTTCACCTATCTACTGTCCAGTGCACGTTCGCCACGCAGGTGCACAGAGCTACCCTGTTGTGGCATAAAACCGCACATCTCAAAAAACATTTGACAGCGAAGGGCATATGGCTTCATCGGACACACATGGTGTGTCCGCGGCACTCCCTAGCATATGGAGCATATATATGGCAAAAAAACCAAGACACACCAGTGACTTGGCACACTCCGAATCCCTACAACAGGGTGCCTTAAACAGCGTCAACAAGCCAACACCCTTGATAAGTGATCGACGTATATTTGCTTCGTCGCCCTGTGAAGGTAATGTTGCCGCCTTTCAGTATCCGGTGGTGCTCGGGGCCACGATGTGACCGGTGGCGTTCGGCCACGGGGTGTGCTCGAAGTGCCCCCTGGCCATGATGAGCGACGCTCGGAAAACCTTGAGCCCTTTCTGAGCCAAGCACCACGACAAGAGGCCCGTGAACTCGACGGGGCAGTAGAACCTGAAAACACACGCGCGGTAGGATACATGACACACCATGATCAATGAACAAGTTCCATCGTATTGATGCACACACCCATCAACACACGAGAGACGCCACGTCATGGACGATTCGTGTCTGTTGCGCTGGGGTGTGTAGGGTGGCAGGCGGGGGGGGTTACCCTACAGCCCGAATGGCAGGGTGCGGTTGCTCCAGTGCCGTCAGTCGGGGTCCTGGGATTGGTTGACATATTCCGATTCATAGCTGACACTCTCTTGAGAGTCGCGCGACATCGACAGGTGCAGTAGTACGGCCACAAACGCGCGGAAAGAGCGTACCTAAACGTTTCGCGTCAACTGTATCCCAGGAAAATTAACAAAAGACTAAGTCTGTAGACAATGAAATGGTTCGTAAGCGGCGAGCCGACTTTGGCAATCAACAAGTTAGTACCGCCTCCTTAGCTGTCAAAGGTTTTCACCGTCCGGGTTTGAATACACACCGGAAGGTACGACCATCGGACTCAACACACGGCACGCCGATAACACGATGCCCATTGAAAGGAAGAAAGGGGCTCCGTGAGAGGAGTCGGTCCCTGTGGCCCCGACCTCAAGCCAAGCACAACGCCGAAGCTGAGAGTCAGAGGAAGCATGGTGAACCATGAGATCAACACGTTGTTTTTAGTTGATGGGATGACGGCACGTTGAGCAAGGCGATCCCCGAAGGCTTTTGGAGTGTTTCACGGAGTCAAAACTGACAAGGAATGAGCGGAGCGGGGGAGATCTTACTTCGGACACGGCAGTCCAGCCTGCTGGTGCAGCTTCGAGCCCTCTCGGAACATGTAGCAAAAGATGTCCTGAGACTTGGCCACGGTATGTCCAATCATCAAGAAACCTTACGGGTGTCACCGACCCGAAACAGATAGATGTCGATCCCCCGGAGCAAGGCCGAACCCCAACACCGCCCCCCAACCACGGAAGCGCGCACGACACAGAAAAGGCACAGCAAACAACGATAAACTCAACGTTATGAGAGCGACCGGGCTTATCCTGATGGGCACGCACGTCACGGTGTGAGAAACGCGTAGAGAGATGGATGGTGGGAGGCGTGCTGACGGTTCGTGGGAAGTGGGGCCTGGTTCCACAACGTACGGGACGCGTGGTGATGCTAGGTCTTCATACGTCCGCTCGTGGCAAGGCGCGCATCGTTGCCCAGTAGCCCTTGGCCCTGCACTACGTGGGTAGAGCATGAGGTCTTCCAACATGACGTCATGCCCTCTCCACCCCGATTCAGCGTCGTTTCGTGTGGACCTGATGGTACCTGACATATATGTATCCTCTTCTTATCTCTGTTCTGCTTGCTGTAAGTTTGATAGCGTTGTTCTTCTTTTTTCCGTGGTTGTTTTGTGCCAACCAGGAGTGCATCCTGGTCTAATCGAGGGCCCCTCATGTTGCACCTTGCAAAAACAGCTTTCCAAGAGAGGGCCACACGAATGCGTAGTCAGTCTTTGATGATACGCGGTGCCGACACAGCATATATATACAGATATGGCCTACCTGTGGAGTAGCCGACCACCTTGCCATCTGATCTCGGGCCACCAGCCTGTTTTTTGCGGTCGATCCCCCGACCGTTCATCGTTGTAACGTTGACGATGTCATACACGAAAAAGAAACGGAGAGGGCGGGGGAAGAGTCACGGTCACGGAATTCTGTCATCAGTACATGTTGCGGGAGCAGTTGACAAGCAAATTGCCTCCTCACACACACCTTAGTCCACCACTCAACCTCGGGACAACAAACAGTCTACTCTCGTGATGAAAAACAAAAACCCACCCCTATTCCTTACTCACGCCCCCTTGCTCGGCTGATGTCCCAACTCACATCGGGAACGGGAAGCCGGACCCCAAGCAGCCGGTGACATCCGCCCGGCGGTCCCAGCCGCAGTCCTTCCCGTAACCCTTTTTTCGAACCCTTGGTCACCTTTCAGAGACATATCGTCCAGTACTTGATTTTGTCGGTGTTGAAAAGTGAGTCACTGCGGGCTCCTCTGTAGCAATACGGGGAAAGACCGCCAAGTCGCCGGGGCGGGCGACCGACGGGTGCATGTTGGGATACAAGAGAGAACGTCCTTATCCACGGCCCTTCCTGTGTATGGCGACTGGACATACCATGCCCCGAGTGCTAAGCGCCCTGCAAATCGTGCCGTTTACAGTACGTACAGAACAGAGAGAAAAAACACAACGAGAGGTGCTTTTTCACCTCGAATCCGAGCTTGGCGTACAGGGAGAACGAGCGCGACTTGGCGGCAATTTGCGTCAGGATCTGTGACCAGACCGGGCAGGAGGTAAAGAGAACCGGTTGCGCAACAAAATAGAGCGAAGAGGGAAGCGAGGCGAGTAAGAGAGGGCAGCAAACACACGCCGTCACCAACAGGAACGCACCGATCGACGAACGCTTGCTGACTGACATGAACGTGGGCGAGGAATACTCAAGACGACGAATAAGTGGGGGGGAGGGCGGGGTAGGCTGGCTGACCAGGACACACACGCACTGACGGCGGGTGGCTTCTGCCAAATACTCTCGCTGCATTGGAGAGGGGCAAGAGACTAACGTTGGTCAAAATTTGAGCTCCCCAGTCTCACAAAAGTCACACTTCTATCACGAAATGACCAGCGACGATCGCCAATCGTTATTGGCCAGCCCCACCCCCCTCACCCCCCCGGTGTTTGCCATCGGCATTGGGTTTTCGTCGCTTGGCAACGACGTTG